CAGAAAAACGGTAGAGAAACTAGCACTACTAGTTACTGCTGCACGATTTCAATTGACTCAATATTTTCTCGGTAATTTGAGCCTCCTGCTAACACACAGAACACATTTTCTCCTTCACTCATGCTCTGACAAAGATGAGGTAAGGAACACATTGTGAAAACTACTAGGAATGTTATTTTTCATTTTACTGTTGCTTGAGAGCAGCCTAATGAGAGGGAGATTAGTCTATACCAAAGTAACAAATGATTATTGAAAGGCAGTTAAAAAAAACCAAGTGACTATTCCAAGAGTCCTGATCCCAAGCCTGCTCCTCATGGTAACCGAGAAATGGTGATCCCCTACCATTTTATTTAAAACATTAATAACTAAAATTAAAAATCTGTATCAGGTTATACATTTAAAGAGAATTAGTTTATTTAAAATTTCTTCATTCTGTGAATTTCCACATGCTTTCTCCTCCATTTAAAATGCCCATTCCTTCCTTGTGTGCCCAAACATCTTATTCATCTTCCATAACCCTCCTCTGCAAAAGCTCCCCAGAACTTCCTACTATTACCCAGGCACCAATAATCATTCTATGAGCTACCTCCATAACTTGCAAATCATTTAATTTTTGCACTTCCACCAAATTATATTCTTCCATGCATCCTGTACTTCTGTGCACGTGACCATGCCACCTGTGACTGTGACCTGGCACAGCACAGGCACATGACCAATAATACACAGTCAGCTTGTCACTGCCACTAATCATGTATTTCATACATAGGAGATCCAACCAAGTCAATGGTGGAGGGACCAGAATTCAAAACATTTCAAGCATAAGCAATTTCTTCTATCAACTTTACAATCTAGACAATGTCATCACTGCTCCCATTAGCTCTTTGCATGGCTTCTTCTAGTGGGAATGACAACTCCACTGGAAAAAATCTTATACCTAAGATAGAAAACATGACATTTATTAAAATGACCAACATGTAATGTAAGAAAATCATATAGTAATTGGCAGAAGATATGGTTCTTGTTCCACCTGCAACAGGGTAGTTACAGGGAGATGGTGATGTTCTGTGCTCCAATTTCTCCAGTGAAAATTACAATTAATAACATACACAGAAATCACTATTTTTAAAAAAACATTTCATCAGTACAAAAAAAATTAGATGGGCTAGAGATGCTAATTTGTGTTCTTAAAAAGACATTTTCCAAAGACCAGCTTTTTTACCTTTATGCCTTTGCTTCTGATGTGCTCCAACTATGAATGAAATGACTTTTTTAACTTTTTGGCTATAGATTTAATACCAAAGCATTGCTGATAAATTAATTAGATGGTAGAACACTTTACATTGCTTGTAGGACAGGGGGCAGGGAAAATCTTCTCCAAAACAACTCAATGTCTCACTACACCCTTAAAAATATAGATCCCTAGCGCAATTCAGTTAGTCTCAAAACAACTAAATGGCTTGTCCTTTAAATGTCTTTGCTTGAAGCATTTGGATGAATTTCATTGCAAATTATTTTAAATAATAGAGCACCTACTACTTTCTTTGTGGAAATAACATTAATATTCTGCTTTCCTACAAACATAAATTGTAGGAATAGGACAAATGTTCCAGAATATGCTGAGATTATCATATCCTAGACCTTGTATATTTCTTCCTTTCCGCTCCAAATTGCTCTAAACAATCCTATATTTTATTTCATTTAAACCAAAGAGGAAATCAGTGGATGTCAGTGTGCAAAGAAATTAGTAAGCAAGACTAGGAAAAACACTATTCATCTCAGAAGATGCCAGACCGGACAGGTGAACCAGGACCCAACCCACTGCCCTCAAACTGTCATGTAATTCACCTTGTTCTTCACCCACTGTGCCTCTGTATGAAGTTGTGCCCCAGGAGGAGGAGAGAAACACCCTGAATTAAGGTCAAGTTTCCATCACCACGGAAAATGAGACGGCATTCCAGTTCAGCTGTATAGAAATAAAGTCATATTTTGGCACCTTTGCATTTGTGGCCTGGAAGATGAAAATTCACAGCAAAAAGATGTGGTCTGACTGGCTGTCAGATGGGAAGATATCAGAGGTCAATGCAGGCAAAGAGGTGCAACAAGTATGGTCCTGGAATTCCAAAACCCAGAAAGGTAGAGGATCCACTCCAAAGGTTCCTTTATTCTGCTTCTAAGAAGCATCCTCAGGGTTCAGGCTTTTGTGTATGCAGCAAAAATGGCAGCGGCTGCTTAAAGAGACAATGGGTAGAAGGATAAATCATGGCTGGAGAACCAGCAACTTCTGTAGTATTATGTGGAAAGAATGGGCTTGTTCTATCAAAACTTGTTCCATCTATGAAATTCACATTTCTTTCTGTCATTTTGTAAGTGGTTGGTATCTTCTTGCTGAAATTTCAACTGGGTTTTTTAAAAGGTATTTAAATAGTATGATATGGTTCTTTCCTTTCATGAGTGCTGTCCTTTCCTTCAGCTCTTTTTGCTAATAAACATCAACAGAGTGGTTAAGTGGACCCTGCTGTCAGCCAGAGCTGAGTTAAATCCCAGTCTGCCATTTTCTATTGCAGGATGCACTGAAAACCCACAGAATGTTGATAGGATGTGGTCTAGCACAAAATGAGTACTCGGTAACTAGTACCTACTGTTACTATTACCCACTTATTGACCTACTAAAATGAATGAGGTGACAAAATCTTTCTCAAATTAAAAACAAAAAAAGACTAAGATGAATCTCCAGATGAGTCCTGAACACAGAAAAATGCACTCTCTCCCTTTCTCTGCCCTGCATGGTAATATACTTACCAAATGTCTTTGCGGTTAATTTATCAAAAGGGATACAGTTTAGAAATATAAGCATGACCAAATGTGATTCATTATGTAGAAAACAGTAGCACCTTTCACAGTGATGCCATTATACAACTACTCATCCTGGGTTCATGACTAAAATCCACCCTTTGGTACTGCTTACATAGACAGTATTCTGAACGAGATGCATTACAAGGACCAAAGGCAGCAGATGTACTCTGAAATTCTTATGTGTACAGTATCACCGTAAGATTGTGTTACAGACTTTGAGGGTTCTATTGGTCTCATTTACAATGGTGATTCTAATCTTTATTAAGACCATGTTTCCAAGTTACTGTAATTATACCCAGCACTAATGAAGCAGTTACCCCAATCAGGCACAAGGGTGTGGACCTGAATTATGTCTAAGATTCCATGTCCATATATATCCCAATGGTACAAAACCACAGAGCTAGCTATAATTTGCAAGAACAAAATTTTCCATGAATCAGTAAAGCTCTGAAAGCTTTAAAAGGCCTTTTCTAGGAGTGATTTCTAAAGCACAGTGAACTCAGAAAGTAATGACAAAACTCTCTAAAGATAAAGCCATAACTTTCTGTTATGTCCTTCTGAGGAAGAAATCATCTCCCTGCTGATACACTACAGAGGGGTTAGTCACACTTTCTCCCATTTCTCTGAGAGGTACAGATGTGACCTTTCAGTTCTAACCCAGGGACGCAGCTGCCTGGGTGTGGAGCAGAGGACAAGAATCACAAGGTCTGAGTAGAATTACCCAGGCACAAGACCCTGCGGTATTAGTTTAAGCTCTGTACTCTTGAGGAATGTGGACTCCCTAACTGGGAGAAGAAAGGGAGGGGGGAAAAAAGACAAGGCTGACTGATAGCAACTCAACAGCCTTTGGAAAATCAGTTCCAGAAAAGGACTGGTTTAGATAAAAGTTCACTGGCTAAATCTAGTTCTGCATTTCAGTGTAGAAGCTTCCAAGTTCTGCTTTTCCTACAGTAAACCAAAAACAAAGTAGGGGGATAGAAAAAAAATAAAGGCTTTATTTCAATTTCTAAATGGACCATTTCCAAAGGTTTTTATTATCCCTTACATCAAATCATATTCCTGCTGCATTTTTCATCTTCTCAAAGGCAACAGAAAGAGGGTGAAAAGTAGCATTAGATCTTCCTGCTCCCTCTTTCCAACAGAGGAAGTAGGAGCACCCGTAAACCCCCCTCTGAGTTCATACTTCCCTTTTCACTTCTCTCCCCAGTGGGGGAAAGAACCAGCCACCATTATCCCATGTGTCACCTGCACACCCCAAATCCACAACCCCTCCTCAAATGTTCCCAAAGTCTGTGACAACCCCCTCGGCTCCCACCATCCTCTTGCTGTCTGGTGTACAGCCCCTGAACTTGGTCTTGAGCTGGACGATGCTTACCCACTAAGTCCCAGGGCCTTCATGTCTCGTCTTTGTTATTCACAATGACCCAATCAATGCAGTCCAAGTACCCAGCTCTCTGAAGATCTGGTTTGGTCTATGGGCAACATTTGAAATATCCAGGGTAAATGGACTCCATAGCCTTAGTATTATTATTCACAAATAGGCTTTTGGAAAGAACAGGAAAGCAGAGTTCAAAGTTGTAATGTTTGGCAAGAATATAAAGTACAAATTTTTATACACAATGAGGCAGTCATATGCTTTGACAATCAACATGGCAGAGATGTAATACCTCTCCATTACTTAGAGTTTAAGCTTTTGAAGTTCTCCATAATCATAAACTGAGCTTTCTCTACCTATCCAATATGATTTTCCACTCTTCCCCCAAATAATTTACTATGATCTATTTTTTCCTACCAATATCCTAATCATTTCATGTAAGAGTTTCAAGTATTCATCATTCTAATTACTGTCTCATCACCTACATCATTATTTTACCCAGCAGCCAAGACTTCCATCCAGAATTACAGTATACACCATGTTAAATGTCTACAAGCACTTAAATATTGAAAAAAAGTTCAGTTCATTAGCCTAATATGTAACTTCTAAGATATACAGTCAAGAATAGTGCTTAGAAATTCAAATGTTACCATTTCTACTGCCTTACTAAATAAACATTTTAAAAGCTTTAGAGAAGTTGGTGTTTTTTTCCTTGTTAATTAACTTAATGCTTCTTTCTTTTGAAAATCTAAAGAGCACCTGGATTATGCAAGCTGCTGTCACTGGAGTGAAAAATTTGGGGTGTTTTTTTTTGTTAACATTATGAACCAGTAATATTTGTTGGCAAAGACTCTCAAAAACTTGCAAGAACAGTAAGTTAGATATCTGAACTATTCTCCCTTAGCTATACAAAAGAGTTGTTCAATTTTCCAGTACTAAATGCTTTAATTTGGAAGACTTATGTTCTAAGGGGCTAGAAAATTTGCCAAGTGTTGATGAACACTTGGGTTAGGAGTTATTAACTATACAGAATTAGTCTTTGGGTTCAGATAAATTGAACTAAACCCTAAAGCTGAGTGATACATTATATATCCCATATTTGTGCTGGATGAGAAAACAGCAAAATCTAAAAGTTAGGGCCATGACTTGGACGGATCAGAAAATCAAGACCCACTTTCCAGCTTCATTACCAAATGCTTAACTGATATTCTGACTCACTAAAGACCTGAGAACCTACCACACAAAGAGATTAGAATGTCCATTCCAACCCCTAGAAAAAAAATATATATAGAATGATAAAAAGATTTATATACCAGAAAACTGGCCAAAGTTAGATGATAGATAGATAGATAGATAGATAGATAGATAGATAGATAGATAGATAGATAGATAGATAGATAGAAAATGTGAACTTATACACTTATTTATATGCATTCTTTACTTAGATGAGTAGCTTAAAACACAAACTCCAAATTTAAGATAAACAACAGATAATAAAGGATGGCTAATAAGGCCTAAAAGACATATCAACATCAGCATTTCATGACTTAAGTGTAATTTTTTTTTTGGTAACAACTATAAGATAGTGTGGATTTTTAAAAAATATTTCTAGTTGAATATCAAAAAGATATTGCAAACAATACAAGAATAAAAATAAGCCATATCTACCAGTTGTATATATAACTTACCAGAAAAGGAATAATAATAGCATGGATAAAAATTATTTTTGTGAATTTTAGACTTTGCCACAATTAGTAATCCAAGACCACCAACCTTTAAAGTGTTAATTTAAGAAATTATGTATCCAAAAATTATATGAATATCCTAAACAATAAAGTAAAATAAAACCAACTGGAGCATGAATTTTCAATTCATTTAACACAACTGAATGACAAAAGATAATCAAAGAATATCCAAGAGTATCAAAAAATGAGATCATCCTAACTTATAAATATAGAAAAATATTTACTATAAATAATGAAAATAAATTAATAAGCCCAAGTATAATTACTTTCAGTTTAAACTGAATGCAGGGATTATCTTTTTAAAAATCTAAGTTGCTGCTTTCCAGATATACCAACCATTACTTTGAGAAAAAGAAAAGGGCATGAATAAAGATACTATACTTTCATGATAAAGTTAAATCTCAAAGTTACTAATGACATGAGATCCATCACCAAGTTGCATTTATCAATTAAAACTTAAAAAGGAGTCTTTCCTGCTTTAAAACACACACACACACACACACACACACACAAATCTCAGGCCTGTCAAACAGAAATTGACTACCCAGTCAACAGATACTGTGAGTTACAAACTCAGTCAACATAAGCATTACAGTAAAATTTCACACCTGTTATTTTTTTCTCTGGTTTAAAGATAGTCATGTGCTTGTAATTGTTTCAGGAAACTTAGTACCAAATAAAGTATACAGAGAGATAAGTACTCCGGTATTCATCACACAGTCAACCTATACAGAATTTTTGGCACAGTAGCAAAGTCACAAAGAAAATCTACACTTCTACTGCAAAAAAGGCATGATGTTTACTGGTGCTTACACAAAGAGGTAGCTAAAAAAGATGCCACCTTTTCTCTCAAATGTAATCAATTACATAGACTGAAAACACTCTGATTTGAGGGGAAAAAAACATTCTTGATTATCTGTTTCATAGTAGCAAGTCTTCCCCAGATGTTAGTAACAGGCAAAATTTTAGCTTTTTGTCAAAAGAGACCATTGCTCTCTATACAAACAAGATGAACTCATTTTATTAGTCAAATAGTTGTTCATTCAAGTGCACTTAATACAGTACTACACATTATAAATTGAAATTAAAGAGATCTCTGGAAATGGGATTTTAAAAAATACAACTAATACTGATTTCAAATAATATGTTTCATTGGTGTATGAAACAAGTATTGCAAAATGGTTTATTTCCAGCATCTCTGAAAGATTATCTACTCCTTTCATTATTAAAACAGAAGTGAGAAAATACATCCCTGAAATCTGGGACCAGAAGTACAGTTTGAAAACTAAAATCAATTTGGTATGGTTAATTCAGATTATGGTTAAATGGTATGAGGACAGGTCAGGAATTGATCAAAGTTTCAAATTAGTCACATTTGTTGAAAAAACATAAATGCAGGTGCCCGTGATATTGCATGGTGTCAGATTTTTCAAATTTAAGTGTAATCTAAGTCCTAAAATCCTTAAGACTTGATTTCTTAAAACACTGCCTACTGCTGAGGAATTTAAAAATTCCAAATGGATTGCATCCAAAATGAGGCTATTCTTTCATCTTTTATAAAATACTTTTGGAATTTCTAACAAGTAAATGCACAGAAAGACACTTAGAATTTTCAGTCCTTTTTTAAAAGTAAGGGATCGCTGCTCTTGGAAAAATCTCCCTATATTTGCTTTGCTTTCTTCAGAGTCTTCCTTGTCTTCCAAGAACTTTGCTAAGATGTACATCAGCTGTCTATCCTGATACTTTATTTGCCTGTTCCCACAACGGAGGAGGTGCCTTTGTCAGACAACAGCTTGATCTTTAAATTTACTTCTGGTAGGATTCTCTAACTTTCGCCTGCAGTGCGTCACATGTCTTCTTGGCATCGCCTAGAAGCATGGCCGTGTTAGGTTTGTAGAAGATTGGATTGTCCACTGCAGCATAGCCAACACCCAAGGACCTCTTCATAACAATGACCTGCAAACCAAAGATGAAGTCAGAGAGTGTTCAGCGCACCTGGCTATGATGTTTTAGGCACACAACACTGCCCTGCCCTGGCCTTGAACAAAGTATGTACTGCTTCTAATTCTTTAGTGCAGAGACTTTGCAAGTACACAGAGTATTTTTAAAGTACATGTCTACATTGTATTAACATTATTCCACCCATGAGAGAAAAACACTCTTCCACCCATGAGAGAAAAGTCACATTAACAATAGTTTATCTCCAAGTGATAAGATTACAAGTGATTTTCTTCTCAATGCTTTTCTGTATAAAGCCTATGTGTAGCATTTTCTAGTCATAATAATAAGCTTTTTTTCTCTGTATGGGCCAAAAAGAATGACCTCTTAGTGCACAAACTTCCAGTAACAAATCCTAAGGTCAATGTAGTTGAGTGGGAAAATGGTATGACTCCAACTCCATCAGTTTAAAGCTTATCAGAATGTTCTAAGACAAAAGCCCATAGAGCAATCTAGCTTGTCACAAGGACAGAGCTAGTAACTAGTATTATACTCCTGCAAAGCAAATGCAAGAGGTAAGTCTATCTCTAATATGAATGTTATAAATATTTAAAGTAACACAAATTGTGGGTGTTGCTCTCCTATTGAATATCAAGTCAGTTTTTAATGAAATGAAAAGCCTTTCTGTGGTCTTTTAGGACATGCAATCTAGCAAAAAATGGAAGTAGTGAAAATCTGTTCATGCTTCATATAGCATTAGTATATAAATGTACTCTGCAAACTTGAATATTGATGACCTACAATTTTCCATATATCTATGAACAAGCGCATGACCCATCTACTCACTTATCACAAGTACTATTTCAAAGTCAATTTACAATAAAGAGAAACAAAATTAAGGGAAAATGTACATTATGTCATTATGATTCTTAAAAAGTCTATATGACTTGAGAGTGATTAAAGGACATGCCCACTGCTGAGGCAGAGGAAAATTCACATGCCTTGAGCTCTCGAAAATGTAGAAGTTCGCTTTTTCAAAGCACTGGGTGTGAGCAGGGCTTGCTTCTTAATGCCATGTTATTGTTTGGATTTCTAAATCACCTTTCTTCTAAACACTCCATAATAACATGTAAATTATCTTTCAAAAAAATTAAATGAAAAAATGTGCTCGTCTTCATATATGAAGGTGATGATGCTAACTCACTGTCCCAGAGGGAAGCCATCTGTTCCATCGAACTCAACCTGGAATTCAGCCAGACTCATTCCAACAGCTCACAGCTCTTTTTTTCAGCTGTGGTTACAGATTTTGTTAAACTATCCACATAATCTCATCTAGTTCTAATCACGATCAGAGTGTTCACTTAGGTCCTCTGGTTACCACAGAACAGACGGAAGCTGAATAGACAGCTGAGCCCTAATCCTACTCTTAACTCCTGGGCCTCCTAAAGACAACGTCATTTCTCTTCACATGACTGAGGAGGGTTCTGTGTGCATATTTTGAGAGACATTTGGTTACTGGAATAACACTCAAGTCTTAAATTTTACCTGCTTTGATTTCCAGACCTCTAGAACTGGCATGCCTGCAATAATAGAGTTGGGGTCTTCTTGAGCTGCTGAATTAACAGTGTCATTAGCTCCAATTACAAGGACCAAATCGGTGTCTATGTAATAAAAGAAAAAAGAGAAGAGTAAACTCAAAGGGGTCAGTTTCACTTCTTTTTAGGCAAATTACAGTGATCTGACTTTATACCAATAACGGAAGCTAGGACGCATACTTGTACCAGGTACTGTACAAAGAGCTTTATCAGAGAGGTTTGGTAACTTGGCCAGTGCCACACAGCTGAAAAACAACAGGTCCTGTGTCTGAATTTGAGCACATTAACTGGAGCTTCATTAAGATGCTACTTCTTTCTTTTCTACATTATTAGGCTTCCTCCCCAAATCTGATTTTACAGTTCTTTTATTATCCCAATGATCTTGCCAGATACATTATTTTATAAGATATGTATTCCATTTTCAAGTTTTCAAATGACCACTCAAGATGCAAGTTGATGCCTACAAGAAAATGATCTAAGTCCATAACTACTGGAACTGGCAGGTTTCACACATTATTTAGCAACAGTGAAATTTAAAGGGGGCATAAAATTAAAATGGTCTAAATTCTCTAAGGATTATAGTATAAACTACCTTAGAACTTTGCCAAAAATGCCATGAGAATCTAGAAATATACACAATTCCATTTTTTTCTCAAGTAAACATAATTTTTTAAGTTTACAATGGATACTTACCAGAGGGAACTGGTTTAATTTTTTTTTGTATCATTAATCTACAATTACATGAGGAACATTATGTTTACTAGGCTCCCCCCATCACCAAGTCCCCCCCACAAACCCCATTACAGTCACTGTCCATCAGTGTAGTGAGATGCTTTAGAATCAGTACTTGTCTTCACTGTGTTGCACAGCCCTCCCCATGCCCACCCCCACATTATACATGCTAATTGTAATGCCCCTTTCTTTTTCCCTGCCCTTCTCCCTCCCATCCCACCCATCCTCCCCAGTCCCTTTCCCTTTGGTAACTATTAGTCCATTCTTGGGTTCTGTGATTCTGCTGCTGTTTTGTTCCTTCAGTTTTTCTGTGTTCTTACACTCCACAGATGAGTGAAATCATTTGGTACTTGTCTTTCTCCGCCTGGCTTAGTTCACTGAGCATAATACCCTCTAGCTCCATCCATGTTGTTGTGAATGGTAGGATTTGTTTTCTTCTTATGGCTGAATGGAACTGGTTTAATTTTAACAAACATGATCTTGGGCCAAATGTCCTTAGCACTCAGCATCTACCCAAAGCCAGCCATAAGGCATAGCACCTTATCTAGGGAAGTCCTGGTACTTTAAAGAAAACAGAAAACTACTTTATTGATCATGAATTGGTACCACTGGAAACCAATAAGATCTCAGACACAGGCAAGAATTAGAAGTAATTTTGTAATTGAGGTTGAGTACCTAGTTCAAGGTCAGAAGCAAGTGAGAGTCAGAACCTGGACTTCAAGGCCAGGTTCGTTCAGAGTCCTCTGGAGTGTAGCACACTGTAAGGCCTCCCAAGATTTTCACCATCCCTCAGATCTCATAGGAAAAAACTTACCTATGCTGCTTACAAATCTGTTGCACCTCACTGTCTTTCATCTATTTAATTTCAATGCACACCTACAAGGAGCAGGTTACTCCTCCAGTGACTAGTATGTCTTTATAATCCCACAATTCGTTTCCTATGACTGGCATTGCTTCACTCACACTAGGAATATTTGAACTTGAGCACTGACCCCATCACTTACCTGGGAAATCATGGTTGATCTCATCCATTTCCAACACAATATCATATGGCACCCCAGCCTCAGCCAGCAGCACATTAAGCTGACCAGGCATCCGGCCTGCAACTGGGTGAATTCCAAACCTAGACATGAAACAAATGAACAGCTGGCCTTACTTGATGGGCCAAAGTGTACAGAGACCCCAGTATCACCTCCAAATCTGTACACTTTGTTCTTGGCACGTCTGCTTCTGCTTCTACTATCTGATCTATATAGGCAGGAACAGAATTAGTCCAGATACATGGTCAATCTACAAATACTGAACTGGAGATGCCATATCTTAGTATACATACACTGCAACTCCTCTCAGAAAATAAGTGTAACTTGAGAACCCAACTCTTCCATATATGTTTTAAATACAATGAACTTCCAACAATATTAAAAAAACAATATCATCTTACATTTAGTAAGCACTGTGTTCTCTCATCATATTTTCTGGTTAACTCTGGAATCTTAAAAAACTTACATTAAGTCAGCCTGGAATTGAAGGTTTGCCATGAAAAACCAACATTATTCCATCAAAAGCTGACTCCACATTCAACTTAAACCTCTATGTTCAAAGGGAGAGAAATAAAATATTGTCATGTACATTAGTTAAAGGCTTACAATCTTTCAAAGAGTGATATTAAGTATTACTCCACATCACAAAAGAAATGTGCCAGTAACACAATGGAGTGTTTAAAAGGCACAGTAATACACAAATCAGAGCTCTGCACTTTTATTAAGGGGAAAGAAACTGAAGCATCAACTTCCCCATAATGTGATCTTTGGAGTAATTCAATCCAGCCTCTTGCCCACAGAATTGATCTCTGTCTCCTTGGCACAGGGCACAGTACCTGACACATAGGAAGAGCTCAATAAAAAGTGAGTGAGTGAATGAATGAATTCAGCGAAGAAAGGTATTTTTAGAGGACCTTTTGGTAGGGATATATCCAAACTCACTTTAAATGCCTTCAGTGACCAGAAACGTATTAATCTTTTCTAAGGTCTATCTCATTACTAGACAATCCCACTATCACACACATACACACATACCGACATTCACTATATTAAGCCAAAGAGACTCTCCATCTCATTGCTTTCCAAGGTCTGCAGTTTTGCCTCTGCAACCACTATGATTCCACTCTCCCTTTCACATGCGGATTCCACTGAGCTACCCTAGGATGCCTGCTAAACAATCTCAATTCTTTCAACTATTCGATGACTGACAGGACTTCCTGACCCATTGCTGCCCTGCTTGCAAATCACATCCTCAGATCTTTTACTGATGAAGCGCTAAGACTGCATTAGCATTTCTAGCCACCACAACACATTGGTGGTTCATATAAAACATATGATCATTTAAAATGTCCTGTTAATTTTCACAGGAACTGCCACCCAGGCAGGCCTCCCCACTCTTAACACAGGCCCTGTTAGGAACAGATAAAAGAAGCATAGGAACTGACCCTTCCAAAAAGCAGACCTAAGAGGAGCTACAAAACGGCCATTTATACTACCTCAATAACTGATAAATGGTTTTCTACATCTTTAAGGCTGATAATAAAGAGCCTGAATTCTTGAGGGGCTTGTAATTGGAGGGAAAAAAAGACATCAAGTGACAGATACTCACTTTTACCAAATTCCCCTTTACATACTCTCTCTTCTGGGATCACTGAAATGTTCCTAAACAACATAAACTGAGGGCTAAAAGGAAACAAAACAGCTATGTCTAGGTAGCTATACAACATATAATCATTTTAGTTCTTTCTTTTTGTTTTCCAAATTTTCTATGAAAACATAGTTTTCAACAGTAGAAAAAATAACTTCCCTTAAAATAACGACTTCATGCTTTCATATTGTGATACAATTTACAAATGGTTTCTCATATATTATTTCATCTTTAGCAATCTCCATCAAGAATTAGAATTTAGAGCAGCTGATTCAAATTCAATACTTAGTTAAGTAAAACTGGTTTTAGAGCTGCATTGCTATTATCTAACAAAAAAAGAAGCAAGAATGTAGGTAAGAGAGGCTGCTAGCATATATTTAGGCATAATGGCTAATACTGACTGTAAAATGTGCTATGCAATTTGCACAACTTTAGTAAATACTTAAGCTGGGATTCAGACTCAGGTCTTTCTGCCTCATGGGTCTTAACTTTCAACTACTATAGAGTATAGTCAGTACAGTTGAGCAATTTAAGAGGTATTTTTGTCAGTAAACAGCTCAGGTTAACTAGTTGTGTGATGCTGGTCAAGTTACTTAACGACTCTCCATCACAGTTTTCCCACAGAGTAGTAACCAAACAGTAGTAACCAGTACTAACAGTCCACATCATGCCAAGGGCTATATAAAGCTCTGTATACAAGAGGTTTTGAGAAATAACCTATTGAACACTGACCAGCGCCTCTTAAATGCTGGGAGAGTATATTTTGAAAAATTATGAAGGGTGTGAGATAGAAATGAACTGTATAGGATAAATTATTAATAATCTAAGAGTCTCTTAAAAGGAATTCATCACCTCTCCCTCAGTGGGCTACCTGTAGTTTTATTGTAGTGAGAATAAAATTAAGGGAAGTCTAATGCCCGTCCTCACCATCTCATAAGGTTTTAAATTCTTCAACCACAAATTCTCCTACCATTTTTGGGAATGTAGCAGTTCAACTTGAGTAAAAATTTGTACATGTTCTCTAAAAGCAAGATGACTTTTTTATTAGACATTGATACTCTAATGTCAACGCCTGTACCACTTTAATGTCAACGCCTGTACCAAACCAGTTTTCCATCACTCCTGAAAACAAAAGAAATGAGGCAAAATGCCAACAATTTATGTTCACACTGTTCATGTAGTAATACAATCTGTATTCGGCACTACTGTGGCTGTTTTTAAACTGCCTCAGAGAAAGCATTTCCAAAATGTCACACAAAATCTTTGGTTGAGATATCAACTTTTAAAATTTAATACTTGTATGGTGGCAACAAGATGAAATATTTGAAAACATTTCTCCAGGCACCCAAGTATACACTCATTAAATGGGAATTATTCCTAAACCTCAAATCTAAACATAAATATAATTTTAATATTTTGACAACAATATAATATTTTAAGCATGGGTATTAAAAAATAAACACAGAAAGAAAATGCCTTATACTGAAGTAACCAAAATATAGTCCTAAGCCTGCTGATTGCATGAATTTAGGAAAAGAAGAAACATAATGAATGGGAAGTTTCAAAGGTATGTGATTTTGTGAACAGGCAACAGTCTTCAGTTCAGGACTTTTAACCTTTTCTTCTACTACCAGGATACCTTACGTTCATGGGTAATAACAGAAGCAGTAAGAAAAAGATAATAACAGATTCAGAGAAAGTAAAGCTCACTTAAGTATAATAATTCAATTTCAAATTTCAAAAGGAGAAAGACTGAATTTGTATAATCCCTGAAAATTCGAAAGACTTTGTGAGAAAGAGGGCAGAGCACAAAACAAAGCAGATGCACAAATGGGTGCCTTGTGCATCCAACATGATAAAGATTGGCTCAGATGAAAACGATCAGTACCTGTTAAAGACCTTCAGGGCCTTCTCTGAGAGCTACTTTATTGAAACTGATTAATAATAAGAATGAGTAGTTATTACAACCAGTTAACTGTCTGTACACTTTGCTCAACGGGCATTTGTTCACATGAACAGAATCCATATTCTCTTTCTCCTCAGCATTTAGTTCCTTGTAAATACCAAACAAAATGGATTACCAAGATTAGCAAACCAAATCTCTACCAAGAATAACTTACATTGAAACTATAACTTATTGTGTATTTAATGCACTGTTTGGTATATATGGATACTGACAGAATATTTTAACTCAACATTCTTCTAAATAGTATGTGTCAGGGAACCAAGGACACACAGAATGTGCCCCAACAAAGGCAGAGATCCTACAGTTAAATTTTAGGGTCTTGATGTGTCATTATTTTGGAATAATAATGGAACAAAATAATTTCCAAAAGAACTTACCTTAAAATAAAAAATTTTAGTTTGAAAAAGTCATTTCACATTACAGAGGTGCTTAGTAACATATCTAACATATCAAACTGTGGTATTAATCAGCTGATTTTCAAAGTTCATGCTAATTTGTATTTCAACTGTGTCTATTTCCAGTCACCATTATGTATCAATAGTAAGGATGTTACCCCACATTCACAAAAAGGTATTCTTACCTTTATCATTGACTAGACCTAATGAAAAAACTGAGTAACTAGGTTTACTTCTGGGAGTTACAGCTTAAAAGGATCACAGAGTATGTGGATAAGATTCAAGAGAAACACAAAACACCCAGTGACTTGGAAAACAGCACACTCTAAGTGAAAAAAAATCAACTGGCTAGAAAAAACGCAAAACTTGATTTTTAAGCAGACTTGTTTTCAAGCAAATAAAACAGAAGTTGACCAAACAGTCCTTATTTTCGCTAAACAGGAGACAAGAAAATGGTCTTCAAGTACAAAAGAAAGAACTGGAATTAAATACAAAAAATGTTTAAAGACTTTCTGTTAACAATTTAAAACAAATGTCCCAATCAGGAAGTTTCAGGTTTCTTTTCTGTGGATCAGGAAGAGGCTCATTAATCTGAGCTGACATACTAACCACCAGTTCAGTACAAAGTGGATTCAAGAGTATTTCACATTTAATGCTAAGGATGGTTGGCTGGCAGTGGACAGAGTCAAGACAATTACAGCAGCTGACTCTTCATTTATGGGAGGAGGGGGAGGAATCAAAGCAATGGTCTCACCCACTAGTAAGAGACGCTTAGGTGGCGCTCAGGATCTCCAGAACTGCAAGACACTGCTCTACCTCAATCCCACTGTCCTAGCTGCCGTGGCTTACTCACCTGTGCTCTTTTGACATGTTAATAGTAAATCTTGGACACCAAAAATTTATCGTAATCCCCTAATCTTTATGATCACCAATAAGTGTTTCTTGCTTCCCCCAGGTCCCTTTCTCTTCCCAAAACCTGCCTGGTGAGAAGACTAAGTCACTGTAGCATACATGACACTTAAGGTCTGTGTTAGTTTCCTATTGCTGCTGTAACAAATCACCATAAATTTAGTA